AGGATGCGTTCCTCGCTCTTCAGCGATTTCAACGAGGCGGGCGACCAAGAAGATCCGTTTGCCCTTGCTGAAGCTCTGGCCAAGACTGCTCAACAAGTTCAGAGCAGTGCTTCCAAGCGTAGTCGTCATGGAAGCGACGATGGCAGCTCCGATAATTCCTCTGAAAATAAGACTCCAATTCCATCTGGTCAAGCTAGCAGAGCAGGGTCAGCAGTCGATGCTGGCGAAGGATCGGCTGCGGCTGCTTCAAGTCCAACTTCCGGTCGCCGAGGTTTCCACATGCCAAAGGCTTGGAAAAACAAGCCGAAGTCCAAGCGTCAAAAGGCTGCTTCGCGCTCGCCGACTTTCGTTCGTTCACGCTCCAGCCAGGTTTCTCACCGCTCAACGTCTCGGCCGCCTGCGCATTCACCTTCAGTGGCCCATGCCAAGTCGCCCGCGAGTCGCCCGAGATCTCGTTCGCATTCTGTGTCAAGCCGTCCGACCGCGTCCAAGCCTCCCGCATTTCCAGCGTCCGTTCCTGTCACTCCTCCGAAGGCTGGGCCTTCGAAGGACGACCAACCTCCGATGGTCGTGGACTTAACGCGAGATGAGAGTGACGAAGACATGGAAGAGGAACCGGCTGCGGCTCCGACGAACTCCGAGGGCGCGGAGGTGACTCGCCAAGCTTCGCCGACTCCTCCAGCAACTCCCCATCGCAGCGACGTGGCTTCTCCCTCGTCACGCGCTCCTTCGCCACCGGCTAGTGCCTCCCCACCAGCTCCAATCTTACGAGCTCGAGATGCTGTTACTATTTGGATCTGACGATGGTGAGGATGCTCCTAGCGGTTTGAAGGCTCCCCGCAAACCTGAGGGGCTAACGTCACCTTATCGCTCTTCCTCTGGTGAAGATACTCCATCACCTCCCAAGCGTTCTGACAGCACACTAATCTCCAAACAACCATCGGTTCCGCCCCCTCGGTCTTCCGATTCTTCCGATAGCGATGAGGGCGGCGCCAGCAATGGTTCTCACGATGGTGATGGAGCTAGTGGAGATGATTCCCGCGACGATGAACCTTCGTTCGACTTCCCTTCTGGTGATACCGCCGATGATGAAGATATCCCACCACCGACTGAAGCCTCTCCGGCATCTGCTGCTGTCGAGGGCTCTATTGCTGGTGTTCCGACGACTTCTTTCCCGAGAACGTCTCGCCCCGAGTCATCTCCTCCGGTCGCTGATTCCGCGTCCCGTGAAGCCTCGTCCAGGACGCCTCAAGCTTCTTCTCCAATGTCACGAGTTCTCACGAGTCCAACGACTCCTCGTCGTCGTCACCATCCGCCTCCGGGATCCGCACTGAGCCAGACTTCGCTT